TGAATTTTCTTCTAAAAATGTTAGAAGGTCAATGTTTAGAAAATAGTAATGCGTTGTTTTTTTTTTTTTTTTGAAAAGTTGTTTATATCAGTTTTACAGTTTTATTTGATTACTAATGAATGATGAAGACATTATTTTGTGGTGGTGAATTTATAAGATGTTTTTTAGCAACTTTATGTTTTGAATTAGTTGTAGCAAATGTAGTTAATAATATTTACAAGAAATTTTTATGGGGCCTCATTTTAGTTTTTGCACAAGGCCTCCGAAATGTCAGGGTCGGGCCTGCTTATGGTTATGAGTTTATTTTAATGTTTTTAGAATGATTTACAACTTGTTTTCATGTGTATTTTAATGTTTGAACTTATGGACATCATATTCTTGATTTGTGTATGTAGGTATGTGTACGAAAATACTAAAAAAAGATGAAAATTATATAAACCAATTTACTCAGCGGTCGAACCGGTTAAACCGGTTGAACCGGAAACCAGTCACCATACCGGTTCAACTAAAAAACCGGTTTTTAAAACATTGGTTTTCCTTTAAACCAAATTTCTTTTAAATATATGCTTTCTAGAATAATTAAGCTCTAGAAGAAAAGGCTTCGACGTTTCCTAGAAAGAAGATGATGGACTTATCACCTCTGTCTACAGGGTGAACTCGTGGATATGTAAGAGAGAATTTTCAATTAGAAATTTTGTTACTGAAACAAAGAGACAGACTATGGATCGATTGAGAGTTTATGATTTGTAGAGGAGAGGAGTCATGAGAGGCTTGGAGGGTAATTTAGTCTTTGAAAATATTTATATGTTTTGTCCAACTGTGTTCCACCTTTTGGGTGGGACTAAATTTATAGATTTTAGTCCCATTGACCAGTTTTTGTCCTATTGACTTCTTGTTCCATCCATACCAAACACCCTACTCATTGTTCATGTTCGTTCGTTTAACTAAAGGAACGAAAATTTGTATTCATATTCGTTCATTTATTAAATAAACGAACATAAACGAACTTCTCGTCGAACGGTTCACGAACAGTTCGATGAACGTTCAGTTCATTTACAACCCTACGTGTTACCACTCATAGTCTTTTAAATAAAAAAGCATTAGTTTTGATATTTCTATTATCAACTTAAAAACACGACATAGTTATGAATTAAAAAAAAAAAAGTTATATGCCAACTATTATCCAAAACTTTTACTTCAATCCTTTCATTTCTATTTATATGACAAAGCGATAATTTGTTTATTCTAACACTAAAATAAATTTCAGCAAATTGTTGCAAAGATATGGTTTTTCAAACCCGGTTTGAGTGTTACAAACTTGTTATATATATTAGACATTTTATAATAGAAACTAGTTTCAAAGCAAACTGTTTTCCAGCAAAAACGATTCCTTCTTTTGAGAAAAACAAAATCTGTTTCTAAACCAGCCGGTATGGACCGAATTGAAAATTCTATTTCACCCTAAAAGCATTCATAATATGAGTTTTTTTCATGAATTTATTCGGTCACATAAAGTCAAAAACTATGAAAAAAAAACTATTGGTTCAACTTTTTAAAAGTGTATTCACGGTGTTTATGGAATTACAGGAATGACGTACGTTTTTGTTTCAAAATCATTCGGTGCGAAAAAGTTGGGAAAATACCGGTAATAACCAAAAAATAGGGGGTAATTTCAAATTTTATACATGAAAATTGACATTTCCGGTATAGACATGCATTCCGCCGAGGTAGCTCTGCGGAATCTACTGTAGCTCCGCGGAATGGCAAAATCGTAAATAAATTAGTATATTAAAAAAAAAAAAAAAAAAACTGAAGATCCATTCCTCGGAGCTACCTCTGCGGAATGAAAAAAAAAAAAAAACTGAAGATCCATTCCGCGGAGCTACCACCAAGGAATGAACTCATTCCGCAGAGGTAGCTCCGAGGAATGGATCTTCAGTTTTTTTTTTTTTTTTCATTCACATCGATTCTTCGGAGTTTATATTCATTCTCCAACTAATTATTTTCAAGAAAAGTTTATGATAGTATGATAATCTTTTTTTGAAAATAATTAGTTGGAGAATGAATATATAAACCCCGAATAATTGATTTGAAAATAATAATAATAATAATAAATAAACTGAAGATCCATTCCTCGGAGCTACCTCCGCGGAATGAGTTCATTCCTCGGTGGTAGCTCCGCGAAATGGATCGTGAGTTTTTTTTTAATACACTAATTTATTTACGATTTTGCCATTCCGCGGAGCTACCTCCGCGGAATCCATGTCTATATCCGGAAATCTAATTTTTTGTGTCTATATTTTGAAATTACTCCCTATTTTTTTACTATTGCCGATATTTTCCCGAAAAAGTTACTGATAGTACTATTTATAATAGTAGAGTTGATTGATTATCAAACCCCTTATTCTCGATTCCTTTGTAATTTTTTGTTAGTTTTTTGCCAATTTTTTAATAAATGAAATCTTAGCTGTTCAAAAAAAAAACTTGTTCACATTTGTAAATTTACAAAGGCTCGTTGAGAAGAGTTTTTTTTTCTTTATATTTTAATATTTTTTTTATTTATTTACCTTATATATCTTCCTCTTCCTATTCTAATAAAATAATAGTTTTATTCTCACAAGTGTCATAGTATTACAACTCATCATTAATATTATATATCAACTATAATGCCACTTGTCAACATATTAATATCCATTTTAAATTTCTCACTCTAATTTTAAATTTCTCACTCTAATTAAATTAAATTAATAATTGATTCTCTATTTTAAATTTCAAATTTTAAATTTTCTCACTCTTATTATATTAAATTAATAACATTAGATTAAAAAATAAAATAAAGTTAATACAGATTATAAAGTGTTATAACTTCACGTATTTTATTTAAATCAACGATTATAATTTTATATAACTAAAAAAATATCCCTTAAGTAATAATTATTTAAAATATTGATTAATAATTTTGATTTTTCAATATGAAAGTTTAATTAATTTTATAATTGTCATTCTCACGGGTTATAAACTAGCTATTACTATATATATGAGTAATAAATAGGCTTTGTGAAAAGCCTCCATGTTGTAAATGACTGTTAACTAGGGGTGAGCAAACTCAAACCAACAAACCGAGAAACCGACTAAAACCGACGAAACCGAAACCGAAAAAACCGAAACCGAAGCAAAACCGATGGTTAGGGTTTAAATTTTTTAAAAACCGAAAAGTCGGGTTCGGGTTCGGTTTTTACCCAGAAACCGACCCATCCAACCCAAGAAACCGACCCATACTTAAAACTGACAAACCGCCCCAAAAAACCGACCCATCCAACCCAACAAACCGACTCATACTTGATTGTTTTTTGGTTATAATAGACTATTTCGGGCTTTGGTTATAACTTGTAGTAGACTATTTGGTTGTAAGACTCATGTTTTTTGAAGTATTTAACTTCAATTTGGTGTTTTTGAAGTATTTTACTTCTTGCTTCATTTTTGGAAAATGGGTTAAAACCCAAAAGTCATGGGTTTAAACCCAGAACCCATGAGTTTATGGGTTGAACCCAAGAAACCGAAAAACCGACCAAACCGACCAAACCGACCTCAGAACCCAAGAAACCGAACCGACCAGAAACCGATCCTATTGGGTTCTGAAAACCAGAAACCGAACATTTATGGGTTGGGTTGGGTTTGGGTCCAAAACCGACCCATGCACAGCCCTTATGTTAACCCTTTTGGTTTGTTAATATGGCATGACGTTACATCAAAAATCTAATTAAAAACTCACATCTTAAATCCAAGTATATGAGAAGAATAATGTGATTTAAATGTCATAATATAAAATAGCAACATTATTTTTAATGTGTTAAATTCTTTCACAGTTACAGTTATGTACATATGATGCGAATGTAATGGTTGAGATGTAAAATTCTACACCGATGATGCTGAGTAGACCTGCACATTTGCAGTCCCAGACCGGTCTTGGGTCGGTCTCGAAACGGTCCGGTCTTTTTGAGGTCAGTCTCGGAACCCGGTCTGGCCTTTTTTCAGACCGGTCTTTTTCGGTCTTGTCTCTCGGTCTTTCTGTATGCCTTTTTCGGTTTGATTTACGGGTTTTTTTTTGTTCGGTTTCGGTATTTTTCGATTCGTTTGTTTTGGTTTCGAGTTTTTTCCATTAATAAATATGAGATTATCATCAAAATAATAAATTAAGATTTATTAAAAAAGATAATTTAAATTTAATAAAAGAAAAAAATGAAATAAATTAGATAGTTTGTAATTAAAAATTGTATAATTAACACAAAGATTATATATTTTATAAAGTTTGGTTACAAGTCTATTTTTTCAGTCCGGTTTCAAACTGGTTCGGTCTTTTTTAGGATCAGTCTCCGAACGGTCCGGTCTTTTTCAGACCGGTCCGGGACGGTCTCAAGTTGGTCTTTTTTCGGTCCGGACTTATTTAGGACCGGTCTTTTTTCGGTCCAGTCTCGTTTTAGACCGGTTCGGTCTTGGTCTTTTTTGGGGTCTGGCCAAAACCGGTCTTTTTTTGCAAGTCTAAAAATGAGTTATTAATATCATAGCAGGCCCAAATATATTGGTAATGTTTCCTCGATTGTAGACACAAGATTTTAGGGATAAGTTTCAACATTGTTATAAATTAATTCGGTTTTTTTAGTTGCTTAGATATGTGTGTTGATTGGTATGATTCAAAACTTAAAACAAGCCAAAAAAAAAAAATCAAGCTTACAGACCACCGACAAGATGTTAAAAGATCGGGTTGCTTTGCTTTCATCTATAAACAAAAAGATAAAAACTTGTATAAAACCAAGTGATTTTAGTATATAAATTTATTAAAACAAATCAATTAATTTGAAATAAATCTTCAATACAAAGATCAAATATAATAATCTCAAATACACCCCATTTGTACGGTTGATAATGTCTAACAAGTCTCATTCCATTCCCATGATCTCAACACAAAAAGGTGAAGTTAAATTGGTATCCAGATGTGAAGAATCGAATTCCCCACTTTTACACCCTTTAAAAAATCCTCTCTTTCCTTCACAAATTCCTCTCATTCTCACCACATCCCTCTACAATGGCTAACGTCAGATATTTCTTATTTCTTATTTCTTATTTTAAACCAAGTGATTAGTGTTAAAATCATTTCGTTAATCACTTCTCTTGATCAAAACAGGTGGTGGAATTGAAGGTTGGTTTACATTGTGAAGAATGCATCAAGAAGATCTTAAAAACCATCAAGAAATTCGAAGGTACAATTTCCTCCTACTCCTTTCACTTCATTAGCTTTTGCTTCATCAACATGATATAATTCATCATGGTTTTAATTAAGACGTATAATGAATAAGCTATAGCTTTTTGTTTCCAGATATTGAAGCGTATGATGTTGATACGAAATTGAACAAGGTCACTGTTACAGGGAATGTAACGAATGAAGAAGTGATCAGAGCTTTACATAAGATTGGTAAACAAGCAACCAATTGGGAACAAGTTTCGAACATCAACTACTAATTAATCGAGCTTAATCTAATGCTTTACTATAGCCTAATATTAAAGTTAGTTGAGAGAGAGAGAGATTTGGTCAGATTTTGTAACTAATGATTATTTATGACTCATTTGTCAAAGTTTTTGATTCGAGTACAACCCACAATGTAATATATTCATTTTAGAATATTGTCATAATCAACTCACATTTATCTTTGTTGTGTATTCTTCAATAAGTTATAAGAATTGCTTTTTAATCCAATCACCCTTTCTCTAAAGGTGTCTAGTCTTAACTTATAAAGATATAAATTGGTGTTATTATTATTATTTTTTTTGGGTAATTAACATGAAGCATACAAAAATATGGCAAATACATCTTCTTATCAATTTTCTAGTCTTGGATAAATTTTTGTTGCAACTTTGAAGTCATTTTCAACCCAAAAAATTGGCAAAAAGATAAAGTGCTAAACATTACAAGAATACATACTCGAAAGCAAAAGTAAAGGGATGGAAGGATGGATCTCTGAAAAACTAGTTTAATGGATGACAAATGGTTTACTTGATATCATGAAATGATGGCAAGACTGCAATGAGGGGATCTCCGTACCCAACCGCCTCTACAAAAATCACAATTTTTCATCATCAGTAAATATGTCAGTCAAAAGAGTTATTTTTCCAGCAACCCCTCAGATGGCTCACACTGCATAATTCAGGTACACAGGAGTGGGCCATTGGGTTCATCATCATCAGTGTCAATGTCAATGTCAATGTCAATAGTTAATGTCAGTGTCAGTAGTTTCTGCAAAAGGGTTACTCTTCCAACAAACCCTGAGCTCGCTGACTACACTGATAATAGGATGTAGATAAAAAATTAAAATGTTATATTTTGGATTGAAAGATGATACCTCCATCATTAAAGAGGATCTTTATGACTTCTCCGGATGCATCCGACTGTATAATTATAAACCGATGATCAAATTCAAATTTTATTTTTTAGATTAAAAGAAAAAATAAAAAAAAGTAAAAAATTGTTTATGATGAGATTATCATTATCTCACCTTCACCGGAAGTTCAGTGCCAAATTGGTCCAAATAGCATATAATTTGTCCTTCCTTAATCATATCACCCTAAATAAATTTAAAAAGGGTAAAAATGTCGTTTTACATGCGTAAAGAACCAACCACACAAGAAATTCAAACCATAGGAAGTAACCACTTTGTTGCATGAATTGGGAATATCTTTTTTATATTATGTTGATTAATGTCAAAACTAATCAAAGAGATAAAAACACAAAAAGAATAACTATGAACTCAAAATTTAAAAAGAAAAAAAAAAAAAGGAAACTTAGTTGCAAGAATTACCTCTTTACAAAGAATAGGCTGCTTCTTCCCTTTGAGTGTCCTGCTCTTCCGGAATGTTCCAACCTAATAATATATTAAAAAAAGTGAGACTTTCCACATTAAGTCCTAACTTTTTACGAATTTGCCCTTGTCATTTTCTCATATATATTTTTTTAAACATTATTTATACCGTGGGACATGAGACTAGAACATATCCAGTAGCTCCAGAAGCTTCTAGAGCTGCTAATTTCTTCAATTTCTCAACAGGAACATTTGTAAATGGATTTGATTTTTGAGCAGGCTTAGGTGGCGATGGTGGGGCCACAGGGGTAGATCCAGTCATTGGTTCACTAGGAATTGGTGGGGCCACTGTAGGTGAAGCAACAACAATCCCTCCTCCTGTTGATTTAATGTTCCTCTTTAGATGCATTTCAAATCCCCCAATCTATATCACAAAATTAAACAATCTCTTACTTAATTATATCAAGGATATATATATATATATATATATATATATATATATATATCTATATATAAATGTATAAAATAGCTTAGCAATTTGTAAATTGTAAGCTTACCTTCATTTTCAGCTCAGCAATCTGTGTTTCATCACATACACCCTTGACAAGTTCCTGTTATTAAACATGTAAGTGAAATGGTTAAGAAAAATGATAATAAATTATAATTTATTATAAGTTAGGTGTATTTAATAAACCACCTCAAAGCCACTAGGAAAAGAAACGGTTGAAGTATTCTTCTTCTCCACTGATCCTTCATATGGAAAAGCCACACATAACAGACATTAGCATCACATTAAACATTGGGAAATGGAAAAAAGAAAAGTTAAATGGAGGGAAAGTTGTAAAGAGTTGAGGACTTAATGGGGAAAGGGAAAGGCTCATTTTTTTTCTTGAATTTCTGTATTGAGTTGTTCTTTATGTGTTAAGTGAAAGAAATTACTCACCATTGGACTTGTCTGCAACAGCAACATCAGATGACTTAACACATGACACAATTGCCCCTGTTCGCCTTTTCTGAGAAGAAACAAGATCCAAACCGAATGATGAAGTTTGGATAAGAGATTTTGTTGATATGATCCATGATGCATTATGCATAGAAACCACACCAGGTCTCTCAAATGATGAACGCAAAGGTGAAACAGTGCCTGTAGAATTTGCAATTATAAGATGCTCTATCAATTACACAAAAACAAATTGAAATAGATACCGTTTTAGATAACTCCTAGGTAATAAGTTAATTGTACAATGATTTGCAAAAAAAACTATGCTCTATATGAGTAAAATCGAGCACAAATTCTCTCAAACTCTGATATGCATCGGTTTTGGTTTGTATTTTACTTTGAAATCGAGGCTTACAGAGACCTAAACAGAGTTCATCGATTGAAATTACTGATTTACAAAAACTGGAATCGAGTAAGAATTGTTTTAACTAAGTTGCAGATTAAACCACAACCGAAGCGTCTACTACATGCAACTAAACCATTCGCGCACTCAGAACCTAAAACAGTCAAATCTAAAGACGTTGATTTCACATTAATTAGTAGCAAACATAGCTAAATCGGTTAACAACATACAAAAAAATTAGTTCACTCGATCCGTAATGAATCCAGTAAAGCATACCATGTTCAATCATGCATTCATCCAGGGATCAGGTATCACATAAAGAAGCCATTCAGAGATGCATTATATAGAGAAGAGAACAAGGGATAGAAGAGTTACAGTGAAAGGAGCGTAAGACAGCTGCAGACTCCATGGGAGATGGGGGGAAATGGATGATCGATCTGGGTATTTGAGAAATTAGAAGTAGAAATGAAGGTAGGTTGAAGATAGATTAGGATTTATAGTTGGATAGAAGAAACTATTATTTTGGTAAAGCTCAGTCTTTGAAATGTCCGCCCTGTCTCATCAGTTTCTTCACCTCTCTTCTTGCTCTTATGAAGCTCCTGCTAACGTGCGCCTTCCCCTTGTTTATGACGTGTCCCTTTTATTTGTGACTTAATTTTGTTCTTTTTGGATCTTCGACTAGAAATTACATGAAAACTTGGAAAAATAAATAAGTTTTTAAGTACCCACACTCGCAATAAGAAAATAATTTTAACCAATAAATTCTTATAAAAAAAATGAATATGTAACGTTTTTGCATCAATTATAAATTTAGCCTTATATTATATACAACATAATAGTATGGATTGACTTTTTCTATTAATGGGTTGATTTAATGATTTTCAAGAAAAATGTATTTGGGAAATTATATCAACTTAGCCGAACATTGTCAATAATTCTCATCTACTTTTACCCCAACTTGGCCCAACCTATGAAACCTCTAATTTTTTTCGATAAGTTTTAGGTGTCTAGGAACTTACCATCTATACTCCAAAAGTCCAATATATGCAACTAGGGAAATTAATGTCATTGGTCTACACTATTATGTAAATATACTTATATGCTATAAAGAAATACTGAAATACGACAACTTACATGTTGAAGTTTGTGGAATTCGAAACTGGGACACCTTTATTTTAAAATGTTTTACACTAAATGATCACCCATAGACTTCATTTGATGGTGATAACAATATAGATATACTTACATTGCCATGTGAAATCCTACGGCTATGGAGAAATACTTGCTAGACTTGTGCTCTATTTAGCAAGCATGTTGCACGCCGATTTCATCCCTTAAACACTTTGAAAAACCCCTAATTTACTAAAGATTCGTTATCAAAATGATTTCTTATTGAATCTAACACTAAATATACCAACATAGAAGATCAATGTATGTAAGAAAAACGGGATAAAATAGCCTTGGAAATTCTGAGAATTGTGGTTTCACTTTCAGATGGGTGGTACTCCCAATCTTTAATCGGATAAGACTCAGAATTGAGAAAACAGAAGAGAGAATGTTCAAGATGTTATGAAGAAGAAGAGTACCAACAACAGATTTCGGATATGATGATATAACCAGAAAAACTTCCAGTCTTAAAACTGCCACATGACAGTTTTATGTCCTAAAACTGTCAAAACGTCATAAACTAACTTAAATTCGGGTCTAGAATATGGATCACAAAACCGAGTATATTTACCAAAAATCCAGATTTCTGATGCATTTTTAAAACTGCCACTCGACCCCAGCCAGGGGCTGCCGCCCCTTGGACCCTACTCCCAGGGGCGCTGCCCCCGGACCCCCATCGGTTCAGGGGCTTCGCCCCTAAATAGCAGTATGCTTTCAACAAAGACAAAATTAAACAAATATGCACTCCGCACCATACCGATTTGTTCAATAATTGTCAAAGTGACATTGATCAACAAATTAACCTCATTACACTTAAATAACATTAGTGATATAAATCACCAACAATGCATAACCATAAAAACAAAGATTTATCAACTATATGGGTGAAATTCTCAAAATTATACATGCTTTAAACAAATTGATACCAAAATGGGTGGTTTTACATAATCACAGAAGCAATCTACATATACAACAGTGGGCAAAAGAAAAAAAGAAAGAAATTATAATTAAGGGGTATACATGGAAGGGAAATATACGATTGAGAGGTAAAATAGGGGGAGAGAGAGTGAGAGAGAGAGAGAGATGGTTTCCAATACTCCCCCGCAAGTTAGCACATGTAAGTTTTGAATGCCCAACTTAACAAATAGTGTTTGTAGTAGATGAGAGACAAGAGGTTTGGTAAGCAAGTCGGCAATTTGTTGCTTCGAGTTGAGGTGAATTGGAAAAATCTCCTTTCGTTCGACTCGTTCTCGGACAAAAAAACAATCCATCTCAACGTGCTTTGTTTTTTCATGGAAAACAACATTGTTAGCTATATGTTTTGCGGCTTCATTATCGCAAAATAACGGTGTGGGGTCTATCATTGCTGCATCAAGTTCTTCAAGTGGCCAACATACCCATATAATCTCGCTAACTGCACTGACCATTGCCTGGTATTCTGCCTCAGCTGAGGAGCGAGACACTATTGATTGTTTCTTTGATTTCCAGCATATTGGGTCTCCCCCTAACATGAGCACGTATCCTGACCTTGATCGTCTACTAAGGGGACACCTGAGCCAATCAGCATCATAGTAAGCCATAAGGTTGATGTCTTTCGTGTTTGGTAAGAGAATTCCTTGACCCATGGTGGTTTTAAGGTAGCGTAAAACTCTGTTAGCAACCTCCATATGGACACGTCGTGGGTCTCTGACAAATTGGCTTAGAATGCTCACAGAGTAGGCTATATTTGGGCATGTGACTTGTAGATAAAGTAGGCGACCTACTAGTCTTCGGAAGTGACTTGCATCAATCCTTTCTTCTTTTTCTCCTTTGTCAAGTTTCAGATTTGGTTCCATGGGGAACGAACTAGGGCGGCATCCCGTTAACCCACTATCTTCAGGAATGTCTAGCATGTACTTTCGTTGGTTGAGAATCATTCCTTCGAACGTTCTTGCTACTGCTGTAACATCCCAAAATACGACCCAAAATTTTTTGTTTTAATATTACTAAAAATCACATCATCGAATGTCATATGTATTAAGAACCATAGAATGAGTAACTCAAAAGTTAAGTAACTGTGTCAAAACAAACACTGTATCAATCATATCAAAATATCTGAATAAAACTCCCAGGATAAAACTGAAGTTGTGGTGTGTGCGATGCCATCATCCCGAGCTCTTCCCTTTGCTAGCGGAAGTACCTGAAACCAAAACTGAAACTGTAAGCACGAAGCTTAGTGAGCTCCCCCAAACTACCACATACCATACAATAACATATAAAACAACTACTGGGCCTTGCCCACTGCATCGGACCGAATTCCGGAAACTGCATCAGACCGAAGTCCGGAACTAACCAGAGCCTTGCCCTCTGTATCGGACCGAAGTCCGGAAACTGCATCAAACCGAAGTCCGGAACTAACCAGGGCCTTGCCCTCTGCATCGGACCGAAGTCCGGAACTAACCAGGGCATTGCCCTCTGCATCGGACCGAAGTCCGGAACTGACTGAACATAGCATTGCATAATCATAACTACTAGCATAAACACAGATACTGCATACTGCATCGGACCGAAACCCGGAACACATAACACAAAGACATGCTTGAATAACAAAGACATCAAGCACACTGAACTACTGCATCGGACCGAAGTCTGGAACTACTGCTAACTAAACGGGCTGGCATTGTGGTCGTAAACCCGTTCCTACTGGAAGGAAACTCACCTCGTAATGCTGGCTGCTGAGATGCTAAATCTGAAACTGTCTGACTGCTGCTCCGGAACTCCCCGACTACAAATCCCATAAATACTAAATCAGATACTGATAACTACTCTCAGGGTAAAATGACTATTTTACCCCTGGTCAAAGTCAACATCCTGGTCAAGGTCAACTTCCTGGTCAAAGTCAACTTTCAGTTGACCGGACTCGCCGAGTTGGGCCGCCAACTCGCCGAGTCCGTATCATCCTTTCTAATCCTCTACCCGCTTCTACTCGTCGAGTTTGGCAAAGGCTCGACGAGTTCTTCTTCGATACTAACATCTAGTTCATCTTCATCTGACTCGCCGAGTTGTATGAACAACTCGTCGAGTCCTCCTTCATCCTATGAATGAGATCAGTCCTTGACTCGCCGAGTTGTATGAACAACTCGTCGAGTCCCTCCACTACTAGATCTAAGCCTTAACTCACCGAGTCCATTACCTACTCACTGATTCCACCTTAAACTCTCAAATGGGGAAAATCGGGGACTCGCGACTCGACTCGTCGAGTCTGAAGAACGACTCGCCGAGTCCCATGCATGACATTACTAAACAGTCGATTCTGCTCGAATCCAATGCATTCCATTCATAGATCTGGGCTCCTAGGGCTGGTTTTTGTCACAACCCCCAAACCAAGGATGGCGGAAACGTCCGGGGGTGGAAGACTTCATGTATAGTATCACAACAACGAGTATAATAGTGCTCAAAGTAAAAACAACCATCATAAATATAATTGAAAAGGTTACACCATAGTATATGTTTACATGTTTCAAAATCAATTACATTATGATGACAAAATGAACTGTTTATACAAGTAGTTTTGAAAAGTGTCAACAATTAAGTTGGTGAGTTCATAAGAGTTTTGTTTGAGAAAGAAACCGTTTTCCTTGTAAAAGCGACAAAGTATGTTTCCAGAAAATCCAATATTTTCTTTATTAAGTGTGAAATGAATGCTCCTATGTTATGCGATAATGTACCCTAGAAGGACCCATAGATTCCTTCTATAATCGCCCAGCGTATATAAGTTATATAAAATTTAAGTTAAATAAACCGTTGAATATAATGGGTCTGCCCTAGGTCCACAACCAAACAAGGAACAGGAGATAAGGCGGGCCCACCAATTCTAAGTCGATTGTGACTAGATTCTTATATAACTCTAGCATATACACTTAGCAATTATAGCTGAAGTCTAACAATTCTAGGTGAAATGTAGTTTTAATAGAAATATATTTCCAAAGAAAATCCAATATTTTCCTCATAAAAAGTCCTGTAGTCCTAAATCCCAGGACCGAGAATATGTGTGTGTTTTGTACTTATAATGTTCCTAATAGTAATGTGGTTCCAAAGAAAATCCCAGATTTTCCTTATAAAAGTTATGTAGTCCTAAATCCCAGAACCGAGAATATGTGTGCGTTTTTTGTACCTATAACGTATTTGTAGTTTTAGATAGATAAAACCCCTTTTCAAAGTAGAATTTTCTCTGTAAACTTGAAAGATTATTAACGCCCTATGTGAGTTGCTATAACCATACTATAACTAGATATAACCTGCAACAACGTTTTTCAGACGTCAAGATTTGTTATGACTTTTGTCACCCGTAGACCTGCAGGTCCCACTGTAGCTAGCAGCAAGGTGTGGGGTGTCAATCCCAATATAGATCTATACACAATTATCACGCTCTCCCTTCAAGAGACTCTGGTTATAACTTACAGGAATTGGAATCCCGTACTCGAACGTATGGGGAGTG